GATCGATCGAAAGAGGTATGAATGGATGGAAAACCTGAAAATATTAAAATGATTATTTATAAAAAAAAAAAATTTTTCGGGTTAGATCATAGCCCCCCGAGGGAAAATGGAAAGAAAAACAAAACATTCACCGCACCCGAAAAAAAAAAAAAATTTAACAAGGAGCTTGACCCGGGATGACGTAGAAATAAATACCTTAAATTATATACTTGAGAAAAAAATTTTTTTTATATCTGTCGATCTGGAAAATCTGTCGGGAGGGGAGGGGGAGGGGGGGGAAATTGAAGTATGTGTGGTAATCGATAAAACGGAAATAATTTCGATAATCGTCGATCGATCGACAATTTCTTTTCGAAAAAAGGCTTTTGGGAAATTCAAAAGGATTTTAAACTTTCTTAGAAAAATGTTTAATAATAATAATAATAATAATAATAATAATAATAATAATAATAATAATAATAATAATAATAATTGGAAGAACTGGATTTTCAAGAAATCAAATAGAAACGAATAAAAAAACGAACACAACATGACCTGTCTGTTGTTTTAAAAAGAGGAAGGAAAATAATAATAATAATAAAGGAAAACGTATAACTAAAAATTATTAAATACGTTGACCCCACCCCGCCCCCTCCCCCCCCCCGCCTCTCTACGAAAGTTTAAATAAAAATTGAAACGAAATTTATTTTTATTTAAAAAAAAAAAAATTTGAAAGGAAAAAAATAAAAAAATTTTTTTTTACCGAAAGAAAATTGAAAAATTGTTCAGACAACCGTAAATCGATTGACGACGTCATAAAAAGATTTTTTACGTAATTTAAATTATGCATTCAATAAATTTCACGTACATATGTACATATAAATACATAAATAGATACATAAATAAATAAATAAAAATTTTTTTTTCTTAATTTTTCGATAGAGTTTAACGACAGACGATGGTGAGTTTTCTTTCTTTTTTTTTCCTCTTCAATCATAATAATATTTTTATTTATTTAATTTATTATTATTATTATTACTATTATTATTATTATTATTATTATTATTAATGTAAAAGTGAAAGAAAAAATTTTAATAAGTTAATTTTTAAATAATTTAAAATTTTAAAAAAATTATTATTTTTCGGTGTCGCTTTTTATTCTAAATATCAAAACTCGTTTTTTTTTTTTACGTGAACAAATAATAATAATAATAATGATAATAATAATCAATACGTACCGGTGATAAGTCTTATCACAAAGATAATAATAATAATAATAAAATTATTTGAGAACAAATTTTAAAATATAAATAATTAAACTTTTAATTTAATTTTTTTTTTTTTATCAATGATAAATCGGATCAATTGATAAGAAAAAAAAATTTGCAATTAATTTTTTAAATGTATGGTTAATAATAATAATAATATTAATAATAATAATGATAATAATAAATTATAATTGATTTTCTTTTTTTTTTTTGGAGAAAATGCGAATATTTCACGTGATTATATTAATTATATACGTACTGGAAATGACGACCGGAAATCGTTTCGATGAAGACAAACAATACAATCAAAATGTAAGTATACCATCATCATTATCATTAACATCATCATCATCATCATTATCATCATCATCATAATCATTATTTTTAAAATAATTATTTTAATAGTTTTAATTACTCCGATGTATTCCCATTACAATTTATTTTGTTACATAAAACTAGTTTTGAATTCTTTTTTTTAAAAATAATAATAATAATAATTTGTTTAAAATAATAAAAAGGCATTTACTCCCCCCCTGTCCTGTCCCGCCCCCCTTATAAACTCGTTTATGGCAAAAATTATAAGAAAAAAAAAAAAATTTATTTGTGCGTAACGCCTACAGTCATTTCGTGTTTAAAATCAAAAGAAATAAATAAAAACTAGTTTTATTATTATTATTATTATTGTAAACACGACATTGATAATTTAAGGTTTTGTTGTGATTCCAGGTTTTAACACATTTTGCAAAATGGTTATTTAAAAGAATCGACGATAGAGATGATATTAATTATATCGGGATAAATAATGAAGAAAAAAGAAATTCGGAAATTATTAATTCGATATTAGGACTACCTAAAAATTTAAATGATGCAGGACGACGACGATAATGATAATAACAATGACATTTCAATGTAATGATAATAATAATAATAATAATATGGGATTTTATTATTATTGTTATCCCGTCAGTTTTGTAATTTATTAAACCTTTTATGTATTTTTTTTGTTTCCGGATTATAATTATTATTAATAACAACAAACGAATGAAATAAAATTATTTTTTTTTAACAAACTAATAATTATAAAAAAAAAAGAGGTAGAGATAAAAATTCTCACGTTTTTGAATTTAATTTAATTTTAAGGTATACGTTTTAAGGTACGATCAACGCAAATTATTATTAAAATGTCGAAGATTTTAAACTTTTTTTTTTTTTTTTAAATGACATTTATTTATTTATTTCACGGTTATTAAATAAATTGACGACACGCACGAACGCACCGAGTAACGATTTATTTATTTATTTATTATTATTATTAATTTAAAAAATTTTTCGGCGGAAAAGTTATTATCATTATTGATAACAAAACTTTCCGATCTTAGAATTTTATTTATTTAATTGAATTTAAATAAATTATATCGGAAAAAAATAATTGTTTAAATGTTTGTCGTTGTTGTTGTTGTTAATGATAAAATGAAGGATAGACATTAAAAAGTTTAAATAAATTTAAATTTAAAAAAAAAGTTTTTTAAACATATTTGGAAATGAATCATTTTTCAAGTTTTTTTTTTAACGGAATAAATATATTTAATTATGATTGATTGGAGAGAGACAGAGAGAGAGAGAGAGAGAGAGAGAGAGAGAGAGAGAGAGAGAGAGAGAGAGAGTGAGAGAGAAAAACGGGATGGACGAGGATGAAAATTTTAAATATATTACGATCAATTATACTGTCAGACTCGAATGGATTTTTATCATTAAAATCAATTTAAGATCGATAATGGTCAACAACAACAACAACAACCACAAAAGTTTTTTAACTTTTTTTTCAAATTCATTTTTAAATATATAAATCAGGTATGATTTTAAACCTAATAATAATAATAATAATAACGTATTGAATTATTTTAAAAAAATAAACATTCAAATTTATGATGTGACGGGCATTTAAATCCAATAAAAATTTACTGTTTTAATTATTATTTCATAGAAATAAATATTTATGTTAATAATTAATAAGTCACGTGGTAAACTATTCATAATTTAAAAAATTATTAAATATAAAAAAAATTAAATAAACTAAAAAAAAAAAAAAATATTTTAATCCGGATAAATTATTTAAAAAAATTTTATCTCATCCCCAAATTCGATTAACTCTTATTAATAATAATAATAATAATATCCGTTAAATTTATTTAACACGCTAAAGGTAAATTATTATTATTTTTAAACGCAACAATAACTTTAATAATAATAATAATAATCTTATATTTCTTACAAAAAATTTATAAAATTTAAATAATAATAAAAAAAAAAAAAAAACAAAAAATATTTATATATATATATATATGTCTTACATCAAGTACTTATAAATTATATATAATAATAATAATAATAATAATAATAATAATAATAAAATATGTTTTAAAAATAAGGAATTTCAATTAAAGTCCTTTAAAGGTAAAAGCAATAAAACTTGTTTCCCTTTTTTTTTCTTTTAACCACGATATAAAATATTTAAATTTAAAAACAAAAAGCATCAATTAAAAAATTTAATTTATGTTTTTTTGCAAATAAACGACGATGATGATGATGATAAATTATTTATTTATTTATTTATTATAAATTATAATAAAATATTGACTAGCTGAAGTAAAAAAAAGGAAAAAAGGAAACCCAAAAGTACTAACAAACAAATAATTAACTTATGCTAAAAAGTAAAAAGTGTACTTTGGCCCAAAAATTGAATAAATCAATTTTTTTTTTTTTACGTAATAAATCTTATTGAACACTGTACGGAAGTATTATGGCGATTTAAATTTATCTATTATTAATAATAATAATAATAATAAAGATAAATTTAAAAATAATAATTTTTATCATTCTTGCGTTGCTTTTTGAAGATTACCAGAAAGTGTTGGATCCGGTCGACGTCTGTTAAAAAATCCAATTTTCCAAAGTACAAAAACAATTAAAAGAAGTAAAAGTATACCGGCACATGCGGCGACGATCTGTTTTTTTAAAATCCGTTTAAAAAATAAAAGAAATGTGTTAGTTAATGTGTTATTGTGAAGGGAAAGAAAATCGGATGTATATATACCACTTACCACTATCCAGGGTGGTACGTTTTCCGATTCTGCTCCTTCCAGAGATTCCGGATAAGCATATGTCGTAGCGTGAGAAATGTCGTCACTCGTATTTTGATGAACGTTGTTGATGCTCGCGAGTAATATTTCAGCATATGATGATATTATTACATAATCGAGATGAGAATAATCTTCTACGAGTGTTGAATTCCATAGTCGAGCACTGATTCGAACGATGGCCTCGTGATTTTTGGGCAAATTATAAACGACGCATTTAAATTTCAAACACTTGGCAGTTCCGTTTATACAATTCTGTAAAATACAAAAATTAAAATTTAACAAAAATCAACTTCCGATATTATTAGAAAGAAGAAGAAGAAAAAATAAAATTTGATCTTACCATGTTAACGATCGTGTGTTTCCTTCCCTCCAAATCAACAATTTTTTCAGTTCGAACGACCATTTCTTCGTCTCTTCTCCTTCTACCACCACCTCTCAAAGGCAATTGTTCGACGGATGAACTATTGTCGTAATCGTTGAAAAAAAATCTTTCGGTTGTTGTCGACTCGTAAAATCCGGGTCTTTGATCGAGACGTAAAGGATTTATATCTTCTGCTCTTAGGTAGCATTGTCCACCACCGATGGCTTAAAAAAAAAAACATAATTTTAATAAGATTTAAAACAATAAATTATTTTTTTTCCTTTTATTTTTTTTTTTACCTTCGACAACGGGAGCTTCATCTAAATAAAGAAGCCATTTCCCTTGAGGCTTGTTGTTGGCCACTTGAAAGGGCCATTTAACTTGTACTTCTAAATTTTTCAATTTTCCTGGTCCCGCATTGTAAATTTGAAATGTATGAACCACTTTTGATCCGATGTCATCTTTAAAAATCATGGCACTTTCACCTCTAATTGGACCACCGTAGAAAACTTGTTCTGGACGAGCCGAACTATAAAGTATTAAAAAATTTGTGTTATTTACCATATTATTGTGCTCTATGTCGATTAAATAATTTTTTTACCCTTTCAATGAAACTTCCGCTTTTTTTACGACTTCCGCTTTAAGGGTAACCGGTAATTGAGGTTCTACTTGAAAAGATGTCGTGTTGACTTTGACCATGTAATTCAATTCTGTTTCGCTATCATCCAATTGCTTCGAATCAAATTTTATTTGAAAATTAACCGTCGTGTTCGTTTTCAATGGATTTCCGATATTACATGAAACTGTTGTTTTGTTAAAGCTTTGACAAGATACTGTTTTCGACTGTAAAAAAAAAAAAAAAAAAAAAATTTTTAAAATAATAAGAGTAAAAGTGTAAATTTTTGATAAGTTTTTAGAAATTCAATAGGAGATTCAATCGTACGGGAAATATCGCCATGTGGGACAGCTTACATTTTCAGACATATTTCGTTAAAAGTCAGATTGAAATTTCTTCTTAATGAGTCGGTTTGAACTACCATGAACTCTTATACCATACTTTTAACGGCTGATAGTACAGGGGTAAAAAACTGTTAGGGTGGTCTCTGCAACTTTTACATATTTTTTGAGGTTTATTTGGAATTTTCTACTGAAAATAAGTACGAAGGATTGTCGTGGCAAAAGTTTCGTATAAGAGTAATAAAATGTCGTGGCACAATGAAAATAACAAAGAATAGTTCTTTTAACACTAACCTCAGTTTCAATACGATTGTAAGGTACGGTGGCAGGATGAAAAATAAATAATTGCGTTTCGTAAGCACTTTCACCCGCGTTTTTAACGGTCACATTAAGAGGTATATCGTCAAAAGCACCCAATAAAAACGTCCACATATTATCTCGTCCGCCTAGAAAAAAAAAAAAAAAAAAAAAAAAACAAAATTCCCAACTTTAATTATTATTATATGTTTAAATAAAGTTTATTTTGGCGCCAAAAACCCTCCAGTGAAATATTCACGAAATCCCTGTAAAATGCTTCTTGTTTAATTTAAAAAAAAAAAAAAATGATTACTTTTTGGTAAATCCAAAATAGCATCTAAATTTAAACGACTCTGGCAAATATCGTCGTTACCGCAATCTTTTTGAAATGTGGCAACGAGTATTTTGGCCGCTTCTTGTTGGTTAAGTATTGGATAATCATCGATAGATGGTAGAGGCTTTTCTGAATCAGGCATCGTGGGGTTATCCTGAACCAAAGAATAACTCAGTTTCATTTTTATCGGTGATTGAATATCTCGCGTATTTTCCTGTAACGATAAAATTTCATTTTACAATTAAAATTTGATTGCATTTTTGGTATTTTATTGAGGAAAAAAAACTTGAAAAATTGTTTGTAATAACCTTAACATAAACTATGTGTTCCTGACAATGTGTCAATACACCTTTAGGTTCTTTTTTTTTTAAAACAATCGTACTCGATGAAAAAGAGGGCCGAGTTTCACCGTCAGGTCCAAACCAAACTCGGGAAAATTTTCGATTCAATTGAAAAGTTTCTGCTTCGATGTGGTGATTCAACGTTAATGTATTAGAAGCCGCATTTAATACGTTGCAACAAGTTTCGAAGTAAAAACTAAAAAGTTAAAAAATATTATAAAAATAATACAAAATGT